GAGGCAACCATTCATCTGAAATGCTATAGGGTTTCCTGCCAGAACAGAGGGTTGGACTAGAAGACCCCCAAGGTCTTCCACCAGTGCTATTAAGTGCTATTAACACTTCATGTGATCTTGCATTCTAGACCATGGTTTTTTCTAATTAGCTCCAGGTGATTTATATATCTAACTCTGTTATTCTGTTCTGTTTTTTCTACTAAAAGAGTTTATGGGTTTGGCCCTGGTAAAAGTTATTCCTAACATCATATATGCTCAACATATAGTTCATTAATTCTAGGATACGTTATCTTTCTGAGCCAGAATTTGATATCTGGTTCCAGTCAGAGGACCTCAAGATTCTAGTTTGGAGCAAAAATTAAATTCTTTAAGCTTGAGATCTAAGTAAGCTTCATTGCGAGCCAGAGTGGCACAGTGGTTAGAGTGCAGTACTGCAGACTACTTCTGTTGACTGCTGGCTGCCTANTGTCAGGAAATTTCTCCTTAGTTCTAAGTTGCTTCTCTCCTTGATTAGTTTCCACCCATTGCTTCTTGTCCTGCCCTCAGGTGCTTTGGAGAATAGTTTGACTCCCTCATCTTTGGGGCAGCCCCTGAGATATTGGAATACTGCTATTATGTCACCCCAGTCCTTCTTTTCATGGCTTCATAGAGCCTTTGTGAATACCATTTTTAGAATCAAATTTTTATTAAGTTATATAGAATATTATAAAATACAAACAAACAGAAGAACAATGGAAGTGGGAGGGGAAAGGGGGAATGGAAGTGAAAAAAGATAGAGGGAAAAGAAGAAGAAAAAGAAGCATTGACTTCCGACTCATTCTGCTGCAGTAAAATAAGGCATTAAGATCACATCGCAGCTTTTTCCTTTTCCATAATACTATAAACAAGCCATTTTCTATAAAGATCTATCAATTTAATCTGTAAAACCCTTAGCTAGCAACTGCATAATGGGTAGAGAAAAGAAATTTGTAAAGGTGACAGTGAGAGACAAATACCCCAATAATGTCTGGCTAGATAATTGGTAAAATGCAGACTACAGAATTATACAAATGAGCTCAGAACTGGTTAGAATACTGAACCACAAAATTCTAGATCAGTTGCTTCTCATTAAACCAGCTTAGAGTCAGGTGCCTTATCAAGATGGATTGGAAGAAATCGGATCTATAAGTAGGAAGAGAGTATAATACATGGGGGGGGGGAATATTAACTCTCAGTAACTTCTCAGAATGGAAAACTAGGCAGAAACAGACAATGCCCTGGCATAATATTCCATGCAAAGCATAATTCAAATAAATTGATTGACTCAGCAGTGTCAGACTGTTTCAAAAGAAAACAGTGCAATGTAATTAATGATGATGGTAATGGAAGCAGACTCTCCAAGTCACAAAAAGAAATATTTCTCAGTTATACAGCATTTATTCATTCTTCTCTTCTGCCCCTCTCAGAAAATGTTGTTGGCAAAATGAATTAGTCCAACTGAAGACCACAAAGATCTTTTGATGAAAAATGTGGGAAATGGAGCTATAGGTGGTAGGATTCTGCAACTTGGAAGTTAGACAAGACTGGTAATTTGTGCCCCCAGGGAGCAGTGTAAGGTCTAATGCAGAAGTGGTATTCAGCCAGTTCTAACAGGTTCTGGAGAGAACCAGTAGCGGAAATTTTGAGTAGTTCAGAGAACCGGCAAAGAGGCTGGCCCCGCCCCTACTGCCTCCCAGCCTCCTAGCTGATCTTCTTTTGTTGCCCTGAACAGGAGAATGGAGCTGGAAAGCAGGTTAATGGAGCAGGAAGGGAATGGGGATTTGGCAGTATCCTTCCCCTGCCACGCCCACAAAGCCACACCATGCTCACAAAACCATGTCCACAGAACCAGTAATAAAAATTTTTGAATCCCACCACTGGTCTAATGGGAACGTATCACTGAATTGTAGTCTAAAGTAGAGCTACCAAGAGTTGGTTAGATGAGATGGATGATACTATTTGAAATAATAACAATTGCCCTGTTTGCCACTTTCATCTGAGTCTTGAATATGAAAATAATTTAATAGGACAACTACTTTGAAGGTGAACCAGGGGTGGGTTCCTGCCAGTTCTAACCTCTTCAAATCTACAGTGCCTTTTAGAACCGGTTCCAGCTCCCTCCCCCCTGCCCATCCGCACATCATCAAGATGAAGAGTGAGAGGAGGAATTCTGGGAGTTGAAGTCCACAAGTCTTAAAGCAAGTTTGAACACCCCTGGAGTTTTTTTTCTAAAGGGTTAGGGGTGCAAGGGTCTTGTAACTTGACAGCTTTAAGACTTGCATGCTTCAAATGCCAGAGTTCCTGAGCCAATATTTTGGTTGCTAAGCAAGAGTGTTGTTAAGTGAGTTTCACCACATTTTACAAGTTGGCCACGCCCACCCAGTCACAAGACTGCCAAGCCACTCCAACTTGGTCACATGGCTGGCAAGCCACTCCCACCCGGTCACATGGCTGGCAAGCCATTCCCACAAAGCAGGCCACACCTATAGAACAGGTTCTAAAAAAGTTTGAAACCCACCACTGGGTGAACGGTCTTTTCCTTGATGGAGTTTTCAAAGAGAGACCAATTGTTCATCTGCTGGGATTGTTCTTCCTGGATTTTAGGACAGTGAGCATCTGGGTTCAACAAAGTCAATGATGGATCCCCGGAACATTTCCAGAACTGTTATTCTTCAGTTGTGAAGAGATGCAAGACACAATATCTGTGCATTTGTGTGTGCATATGTCAATCCACCTATAACAGGGGCACAATAACAAAGGCCTGGGGCCTACCAACTTGTGTTCCATACCAGTGGTGGGATTCAAATTTTTTTACTACCTGCTCTGTGGGCGTGGCTTTGTGGGCATGGCAAGGGAAGGATACTGCCAAATCCCTATTCCCTCCCCACCCAACTAACCTGCTTTCCAGCTCCATTCTCCTGTTCAGGGCAACAAAAGAAGATCGGCTGGGAGGCTGGGAAGAAGCAGGGGTGTGGCCAGCCTGTGAACTACTCCAAATTTCCACTACTGGTTCTTCAGAACCTGTCAGAACTGGCTGAATACCACCTCCATTCTCTACTCCTTAGAGCAAAAGGGATTGGCTCTTATTTGAATTTTGGAGAATTCTGAGATGGCAGGGCAAATGCGATTGTATTTCTTAAAACCCTTAGTCCAGATTTTCTCTCCCCAGCGCTACCTACTGTTCTGTTCACCTAAAGTAAACGGCCTCCTTTTCATTTCAGCATTCCCCCACCCCCACCCAAAATTGAGCCATTCATTTTGTAATGAAATTCTGAACATGCCCACATAAACTTGATTTATTTGGACTTCATTTTATTTGGGCTTATTTAATTAGCCTTGGGACTAACAGACGTTCTGTATCCTATCCAACTCTAGCCTGGCACCCCCTTTTCCATAGGACGTGTCCGGTATCCATCAGTCTCTTTATCCTGGCTGCCTTTTTATTAATTCCTCCCACTCTTTCTCCTGATCCTCAAGACACAGTGATGTCATCCGGCTGGAGAGCCAGAGCAATACATCGCAGTCTCTTAACAAGATAAAAGAAGGAGGAAACTGCATTATAAGGTATCGCGTCAAGCGAACAATCGAAGGCTTGCCAAGAACAGAAGCAAGAGTTGGAAAACAGGCATTGGGTACCACCAAGGAGAAAAACCTGAGCAGATTCACTGCGGGGCAGTTGAACTGGAAGGAAATTGGAAGCCAAGATAGGACCTCACTGGCCGTGACAAACGAAGGAGAAAGAGAGCAACTCTACATGATGGCCAATCCAAGCTATGAAACCCATATTCCTGTCCCCTCAAATCCTTCCCCTTATCCTGAACAAAAACCTCATGAAGAGTCCGATTCACTTAAATTCCACGTTGAACCATCTTCTCTGGATTATGGGGCAGCTTCCTCAATGCCTCCGCCACCACAGTATCAGATGTACCAGAATCCGCCGTCTGCAAAGCCTCAACAAGATCTATTTGTTGAGGCTCGGGAGGATATCTTTATTTCACACGTCCAGACCACCAGTGAGCCTGACTACCTGCGCTACTCCATCTGCACCTTGTTCTGCTGTTTCCTACCCTTTGGAATTGTGGCTGTGATTTATTCCATAAAGGTGAGTTGGTGGCCATGGGTTTATTCTGTAAAGGTAAGTTTCTCTGGGAACAAGAGTTGCAGGTAGCAGGGAGCCTGGACTTTTTTCTTTATGAAGTTCCTCTTAGTTATATTTGGAAAAATGAAGGGGACAGAATCATATTGGTTTAAAGTAGGTGGGCTCCTGCGTCTGGAACTCATCAAGAGCCCCTTTTGTAGCTCCAGTACCATGTGATGTTCCTCAGGGGCTGCATGGTGACAGGGAAGGAGATTAGTAAGGGGACAAGTAAGAGAATGTAAAGTAGTGGCATTTGCAGAGGAACAGAATATGTGACATCATTGTATCTTCACTTAGGATTAGTCGCTTGCTTTTCCTTCTTACAGTATTCATATTCAATGTCTCATTCATTCGTTTGTTCGTTCATTCGTTCATTTGTATTCTGCCAAATTTTGTGATTGATTTGCAGATGCTTTCCTTCTAGGAGCTCAACATGGTAAGGACAGGAAGGGTCTCTATCTTTCATCCCTACCGGCACCATGCACCCCTTTTGAAGTAGCTTGAGTTGAAAGAATAAATGGCATTCAAATGGGGAATTTGAACTTCAATACTTAATCACTAGATTGATAGATGATGGATGGATGGATGGATGGATGGATGGATGGATNGCTTTGGAGAATAGTTTGACTCCCTCTTTTTTGTGGCAGCCCCTGAGATATTGGAACACTGCTATCATGCCGCTCTTAATCCTTCTCTTCATTAAACTAGACCTGCCAATTCCTGTTCTTTTTGTTTTAGCCTCCAGCCCCTTAATCATCTTTGTTGCTCTTCTCTGCACTCTTTCCATCTTTTTTTAATATTGTGGCGACAATATAACACAACCAACTGAATTCGATTGTACAAACTATTCTCGCAGCTCTATAGATGTCGTGACCAACATTCCCCTTTTCAAATCACCATGTAGCACCTACATAAAAGGAAAGGAAGCTATTCAGGTAGAGATGGTGGTCACTTCCTTACCTGCAGCGCACTTTCCAAGCATCTCTGCCATTCATAGGCATATCTCTCACTTTCCTAGTGGGAGAAAGTAAAAGAAACCATTTCTACAAAAAAACCATCATGGAATGATGTTTTAAGAGTGAATATTTTTCTATACGGGAGAGCCAAATCCAGGTGTGGAAGATCAGAAACTTTTCACATTCTCCTTCATCTATAACATAACAATTTGGGAAGGAAAGTTGTGGGTCTCTTCCCACCAAGTTGGGAAGATGAAATAGGGCATTTTGATCACTATCCGCTAGGAAAACTGGTTCCCTCCTACTGTCATTTTGGAAGCACATTAAATGGGCTGGTTCCAAAGAATTATTGGTATGCATGTTGCCCCTTGATTGGAAAATGTGGCTGAACATGGGCTGGTGGGTTTGGTTTATGAGATGGGTTGCTCTACAAATTTTTCTCATTTGTATTTTATTTTTTTGTTCCTTGTCATCATCTTCTATGTGTTCTTTTTTAATTTTTATTTTAAACACTTAAACACATCAACAAAAACATACGCATGACTTACAAACAACACTGGAACTGAGTGTTCCTTCTCACAACAGATACTGATCAGTACATCTTTACAGTTATTATTTCTCCTTCTATGCATTCTAATTTTACATTTATGGCCACCTTGTTTTTTACTCCTTTGCTTTAGTTGTTTATGTTAAGTCATTTGTAACAGACTATCATATTCCCTTTGTTATACTGTATATCTTTCTCTTACATTTATATATCTTAAATTATGCTTCCTATTCTCTTATCGCTATATTCTTATTTTTCTACAATACATTTTACATTTCCCGATTTCTTATTTCTATCCTCTAATCCAGTGATGGAGAACTTTTTTTGGCTCGTGTGCCAAAAGCGGGGGGGACCGCAGAGGGGTCGTGCGCATGCATACCACACCCATAATGCTATGTGCATGACCCCAGCGCGCATGCATGCACAACCAGCATTCTCCCCCCATTTTTGGCGTGCTTTTTTCATCCTCCCCAGGCTCCAGAGGCTTTACAGGAGCCTGGGAAGGGCGAAAACTGCCTCCCCGCCCCCCTGGAGGCCCTCCGGAGGTTTCAGGAGCTTCCTTGAAGCCTCCAGAGCGCTAAAAACCGGCCCTATGAGCAAACCAGAAGTTCAGGAACGTACTTCCGGTTTGCTCGTAGGGCTGGTTTTAGCCCTCCGGAGCCTTCAGGGGCCTTCAGGAGGCTTCCCTGAAGGCTCTGGAGGGCAAAAAACAACCCTACTAGCAAATGGGAAGTCACTTCCGGTTTGTCCGTAGGTCCGTTTTTCGTCCTCCGGAGTCTTCAGGGAAACCTCCCAAAGGCCCCTGAAGGCTCCGGAGGGCTAAAATCGGCCCCACAAGCAAACCAGAAGTATGTTCCTTAATTTCTGGTTTGCCCATAGGGCCGTTTTTTTGTGCTCTGGAGGCTTCAAGGAAGCCTCTGGAGGGTGAAAAATGGCCTCAAAAGAAGGATGAAGTCAGCTGGCCAGAGTGCGCATGCGCGCTGGCCAGCTGACAGGGTAACCCCTCATGTGCCCTGACAAATGGCTCTGCGTGCCACCTGTGCCATGCGTGCCATAGATTCGCCCTCATGGCTCTAATCATTTGTACCACTTTTCCCAAACTAAATAGTATTCTGATTCCTCCTTTCCTTGAATTTCCTTAGTCAATTTGTCCATCTCCATGTATTTTTCCTTATTACCTCATCTTTGTTCCGTATTGTGTTATTTTTTCATTTCTGTCCGTATGGTATTCTGGTCGCTGTGATAATGTGTAAAATTAGGTGTAGCATTTCTTTACTGTAATTTGTTGTGGTTAGACTTAATAGAAATGTCTCTGATTTCCAATCTACCATATTTTTCAGAGTATAAGACGCACCAAGGTTTTGAAGAGGCAATTTTTTTAAAAAAGTAGGTAGGTAGATAGAGGGATAGAGAGGGAGAGAAAGAGAGAGAAATACAGTAGGTAGGTAGGGAGAGAGAGAGAGTAGTTAGGTAAAGGGAGAGAGAGAGAGAGAGAAATAGAGATAGAGAGTGTCGGTAGGTAGGTAGAGGAATAGAGAGAGAAATAGAAAGAGAGAGAGAGAGAGAAGGTAGGTTGGTAGGCAGCGGGATAGAGAGAGAAATAGAGAGATAGAGAAATACAGTAGGTAGGTAGGGAGAAAGTGTGTGTAGGTAGGTAGGTAGGTAGGTAGAGGGATAGAGAGAGAGAAATAGAGAGAGAGAAATACAGTAGATAGGTAGGTGTTTCTACTGGCACAGCACTTGATCAATTTAATTCTCATCAATCAGTTAAAAAGTTTTCCAAAAGGGGAAAAAAAAGGTTTTGCACTCTACAAACCTCCCAAAAAAGGCCAGTTTTTCACAAAAACGGGCCAGGTTTTTTTCAAAACAAAGGCATGAATAGCCTTGGAGGACTGGTAGAGTGCTCCTGGGAGGAGGGGAACGAGCAAAACCGACTCGGTTTTTTTTGCAAAAAACGGCCCCAGGTTTTTTTTGCCAAGAAAGGGCATGCATAGCCTTTAGGAGGCTTGTAGAGTGCTCCTGGGGGCTGCCCCCCCCCCAAACAAGCAAAAAACTGCCCCTAGGAGCTCTTTGAAAGCCTCCATAAGGGTATGCACAGCCATTTTGGTGAAGGAGGCGGGGCTTCAGGAGGCAAAAAATGCTGTATAAGACGCACCCAGATTTTCAGTCTCTTTTTTGAGAAAAAGTGTGCGTCTTATACTCCGAAAAATATGGTATATGATTCCCGGTTATGTCTTCTAGACAGTTTCTAATTTTAATCCAGAATTTTTATGCTGCCTCACATGTCCACCGTGTGTGGTAATAAGTCCCATAAGATTTTCGACACTTCCAGCACATCGGGGATACGTTTGGAGATATTTCCGCGAGTATCACGGACAGCGGGTGCGGGTAAAACATTTTGTAGTGGTTTTCCTTGTATGCCGCAGACGTGGTCAATTTCAAATTTGTTCCCCCAAAGCTTTTCCCATTTTTCCAACTCTATATTATAACGGAAATTTAAGTTTGGGAAGAAAAGTTGTGGGTCTCTTCCCACCAAGTTGGGAAGATCAAACAGGGGATTTTGATCGCTGTCAGCAAAACTGGTTCCATCCTACCGTCATTTTGGAAGCAGGTTAAACGGGCTGATTCCAAAGAATTTTTGGTGTGCATGTTGCCCCTTGATTGGAAAATGTGGCTGAGCATGGGCTGGTGAGTTTGGTTTATGAGATGGGTTGCTCTGAATTATTTTTCTCATTTGTATTTTATTTTGTTCCTTGTTATCATCTTTTTGAATGACCCCATAATCCTTTGCAGGGTGGAACCTGGGCAACCGAGTGGAGCTGAGTGTTTACTGGACGGATGCCCTTCCTGCTGCCAATGCAGTTTTGTTCAGCAGATAGAATCTCAGTGTGCCTCTATGTAGGATCAAACTCACAGCCTCCTGATTGTGAGGCCAGAGCACCACTTCTAGGCTAGCGCACCACTCATTTTGTTGCTTGCACTCCTACTGAAATCTGGAATGAATTGGACAGCATACAGATATGTTTGTAAGTATTTCTCAAACTCAGGAAGTTTTATTATCTATGGACTTCAACTCCCAGAATTCCCCAGCCAGAGTCTGGCTGGGGAACTCTGGGAATTGAAGTCCATAGATCTTAAAGTCGCAGAGACTGAGGAACACACTGCTGTAGGCAATAAGTGAAAGAATCATGATGAAAACTGAGCGTATCGGGGAAACAAGGTAGCTACAACTCGGCTTCTCTTTCAGCAGCTCCCTATTCTGCCCACAAGGATTTTTGCCTCACCTGCATTTGCAGTTTGGCACCTGCTTAATCAAGCCATTGTTTTCAGCACAGGTGCTCCAAGCCACAACTCTTTTTTTGGTTCTCCCCTTACCTCTACTTCTCCAGTAAGGTCTTTGTACTTGTCTCGGATGACAGGCAGCGAAGGCTTCTCGCTCAGCGTGTTTGATCGATCCCTAAAGGGCTGCTCCACTGGGGGCAGAGGGGAGGAGCCCAAACTTAGGGTCCTTTTGTGAGAACCTGGAAAGAAATACAGGTATTAAAGGGGTGGTGAGGTTAGGGTGAATACAGATATTCCTTGACTTATGTTGGAAGAAATGCCCTTCTGGGTTCAGTTCCAGGTGGGGAAAAAGACACTGGATTAATGGAAATTGCTTGGAAAGAATGTTTATTGATGGTGGGCAGGAGGATATGCATGGTTTGAGATCCTGGGGGAAAAAGGGAAGAGGTGATGAGAGTGCCTGAGTTTTACACCCTCTCTGGGCTTTTGAATTTGAGCTTGTATTCTGATTGGTTGTCAGACTCCCATGGGGCCATGCAGAAGCAACTCTGTAGACTGTCCTGAGTCCCTGGTTGAGCCTTGCTGGGTGATGTAATCTTCCCAGGTGCCATGTTGTGAGATGGGTAATGGGTGACATTGGTCGCCACGATGTAGAAAAGATGTGGAGACTCTAGAAAGAGCGCAGAGAAGAGCAACAAAGAGGATTAGGGGACTGGAGACTAAAACATATGAAGAACAGTTGCAGGAACTGGGTATGTCCAGTTTAATAGAAAGAAGGACTAGAGGAGACATGATAGCAGGGTCCCAATATCTCAGGGGTTGCCACAAAGAAGAGGGAGTCAAGCCATTCTCCAAGGCACCTGAGGGTGGAACAAGAAGCAATGGATGGAAACTAATCAAGGAGAGAAGCAACTTAGAAGTAAGGAGAAATTTCCTGACGGTTAGAACAATTAATCAGTGGAACAGAAGTTGCCTCCAGAAATTGTGAATGCCCCAACACTGGAAGTCTTTAAGAAGATGTTGAATAGCCATTCTGTCTGAAATGGTATAGGGTTTCCTGCCTAGGCAGGGGGTTGGACTAGAAGACCTCCAAGGTCCCTTCCAACTCTGCTATTGTATTGTATTTAATCCTATCATGTCCTGAGGGCCATGTCTTAATCCCAACACCCTAGATCTTAAGGGGTATGTGTGGCAGGGAGCTGTACGAAGCTTCTTTGTCCTTAAAAACATGTTTCTCCTTTTCTCATCCAGGGAAACATAATATTCTGCCTTTTTAATATTTCTTAGAATATTTCATTTTTCTAGGAGAGGGGTGGGCGCTAACGTCCTACACGTACAACCACAAGAAGCAATGGGTGGAAACTAATCAAGGAGAGAAGCAACTTAGAAGTAAGGAGAAATTTCCTGACGGTTAGAACAATTAATCAGTGGAACGAAGTTGCCTCCAGAAATTGTGAATGCCCCAACACTGGGAGTCTTTAAGAAGATGTTGGATAGCCATTTGTCTGAAATGGTATAGGGTTTCCTGCCTAGGCAGGGGGTTGGACTAGAAGACCTCCAAGGTCCCTTCCAACTCTGCTATTGTATTATATTGTATTGTATTGTATAATCAGTGAACAGCTTGTCTCCAGGAGTTGTGAATGCTCCATCAATGAAAGCTTTTAAGAAAAGACTGGACAACCATTTGTCTGAAATGGCATAGGGCCGTGATGGTGAACCTATGGCACGCGTGCCAAAGGTGGCACATGGAGCCATATTTGCTGGCATGCCAGCCATCAGCTCTGGAGTGCATGCATGGGCCGGCCAGCTGATTTTTGGCCTTCCAGAGAGCCGGAGCAGACCATTTTCGCCCAGGCTTCAGGTAAGCCTCCGGAGGCTGGGGAGCATGAAAAACAGGCCCAACGGGCCAACCGGAAGTTCATTCCCAAACTTCCAGTTGGCTCGCTGGGGCCATTTTTTGCCCTCCAGAGCCTCCAGAACCCGGGGAAAGGTCGTGTGTGCATTTGCAGGTTGGGTGGTGTCATGTGCACATGCGCAGGTGGGCAGGGATGATTGAATTGGTGATAGCATGAGTGAACACAATTTTGGCAAGCCATAAGAAAAAGGTTGGCCATCACCGGCATAGGGTTTCCTGCCAGAGCAGGGGGTTGGACTAGAAGACCTCCAAGGCCCCTTCCAACTTTGCTATTGTATTGTATTGTATTGTAAAAAAACAACAGAAAATAAAGATGACGGCGCCCAGGATCGAACCGGTATGGTCCCATGTCCTGCCAAGTTACTACCTATTCGGCCAAACCGGTAGGAACCCACCTCTGATTCAAAGTTACAACGGCAGTGAAAAGAGTGACTTACGACCATTTTTCACACTTATGACCGTTGTAGCATCCCCATGGCCATGTGATTTACATTTGGATGCTTGACAACTGACTTACAGTTACGACAAGCAAGGTCAACGGGGGAAACCAGATTCCCTTCAGAGCTTTGTTCCTCATTTAAGAACTGCAGTGATTCACTTAGCAAAGGTGACGAGAAAGGTCGTAAAGTGGGGCAAAACAAACTTCTCACTCAACAGCAGTTAAGTCGTGGTCGTAAGTGGAGGACGACCTGTAATTGCAACCACAATATCAGCGTGGGATTCTCACCTTGAACGGAGAGGTCAAAAGTTGCCAGCTCGCTTTTGATCATTTCTTCACTGGATTTCATTTTCCCTTGGGAAGTGGCCAATAAAAAGTCAAATTTGCTGATTTTGGGTTTTTCACCCTGAAACTCCCCAAAGTCATCAAAAACTTCTTTTCCAGCCTCTGAGGAGACGGAGGCTGAGTCAGCCTCTTGAGGGCCGCCTGGGGTTGGTCTCTCGCTTCCACCGTCCGGGGGTCGAGCAAACTCTCCGAAGTCTTCAACTTCGTCCTCGCTTTGGTCGACAGAACGAGGACTGGAACCTTGGAAGTTTGCAAAAGGTGAGAACTTCACGTCCTCGTTCGCAAAGGTTGTCACCTTGGAAACGGTGGTCACGGTGATGTTTTCAGAGCTGCCGAAAAAGGTCTCCTTCTTCTGGAGGACAGAGGTAGCTAAGGAGGCTTCGTTTCCTGCAGGAAGGGAGGAGGGGGTAGACTTCCTGCTCTGATAGACATCTTCTTTATCCAACCAGTCGCAGCTTGGGAAGCTACTCAGAAGGGAGCCACTGCTATACGTTCCAAACGGGGCACATTTCAAGTCATCCAGATCTAAAAAGAGCAACAAACATCCAAAGAGTTAAGGAAAGGATGGGCGATCTTCTCACCAAACCTCTTGCAAATCAAAACCAAAGGGGGAGACAACATCTGGAGTGGGTGAATTTAGA